GATGAACTACTCCTTTCTTGTGAGAATGAGTCATTAATGCTGTCAACTACAGCAAGAATGTTTTTACAAATACTTTACTTTTAATATTATACATATAGCCTACCTACAGCTCTATAAAACAGCAATATTGAAGAATGTCATATTCAATCTGGGTTCCCATTAAATAGTTGTGTGTTTAATAGATGTCTAATGGACATCTAATTGTAGGCAGCTTGGCTCAATTAAAGCTAAACTTGGGCTGTCAGTGAAAATCTAATAGACATCTTAGAATAGCCCCAAACTAGTCGTCAAATAGACAGATTAGACAGACTTTATATGTGTAGTCATTCATTTCTGTAGATTTGATGACTAGTCTAGTTTTGGCCTATTTTTAGACATCTATTAGATTTTCACTGACAGCCCAAATTTAGCCTTATTTTAGCCAAGACGACTATGTTTAGACGCCTATTATACATCTATTAAAAACAAAAATGCTTGCTGGGTTGTAAGAGTGTCATAATTAGTTTAGACCTTCAGTCTAGGCTTAAATTTAAAGTGTGATTATTTTACACTGTTATTTTATTAACTGTTCCTTTTTTGTTTACATTGAAGTCTCATTATGATTTTAAAAATGTAAGGAAGACCACAGCATTTTTAAAGCCTTAGACAGTTAAAATGAAAATGACTGTTTACGGTTGGTGCAATAATAATTTACACCAGCATTAAAGTGCTTTACGATTAAACATGTCAGATAAAATTGTTGTGGTTTTTGTTTATTTTCATTGATATATTTAGTTTGTTTTCAAATGGTGGTCATTTTTTTTGCTCATTTAAGTTACTATGAAATTATTTTGGATGTGTCTAGCGTTTATTGACTAATAATCTAAATATATGTTTACTTTTCAGACTGGATTAATGTACTGGCCATTCATGCAGGTGTGACCCGCCTTCTGTTATACATATATACACAGACAAGAGTGCAGTAAACACTTCTGTGCTTTGCCAACATTTTTTCTCATCTCATTGAAATAGTTTGTTTATACTGACTAATCTGTAATGTCTTGCAGTTCCTGAATTTTGTTCTGATGCCTCTCTACCTGAGGACAGCGTTCATGGGCTGCTCAGCGTTCGTATGGGCCACGTTTTTGTGTTTCTCTCGACAGAGTGGAGATGGGACCGCAGCAGTGGCCTTAGCTTGGGTAATGGCCCCCAAGAAACGGCTTCTACATCGCAGTACAGACGAAGAGAAATAGACACATAGTGGCGTACATATACAACATTGTGCCTTTGCAAAAGGACAGTTAAGTCCCACAATGGTACTATATTGAGTCTGTTGGGTTTATGGATTGTTGCCACTTATGGTTGTATTAAGAATGATAACGGGTACGTGTTTAATTTATATTTATGCTGAAACAACACTATATAGTTGTATGTGATTTAATTTATTAATGGAAGGACGATGAATTGTGACTTTATGTATTTTGCTGTGTGGTGCCCGAAGGGTCTTGTGTCATTGTGCCCCAGGTCATTAGATTGCTATTCAACCCAAATACCTTACTGATTTATTTTTAAAATGATTATAAAAGTTCATGAAGTGTGTTGTATTTTTTTATTTTCTCTTTTCAGAAATGAAGGTGCATTCACTTGAAAGGTTTATATTAGGCTACATGCATTTACTCAAAAGTGATGCAGCTTTTAAAAGATTGGTTTGTATGAAAAAATATATATATATATTAAATTCAACTTTGAAATCTGGACTTTACTAGAACTTCTATGTTAAGCAGCTTTGACACAATCAACACTGTAAAAGTGCTATAGAAATAAACACATTGAATTGAATATTGTAATACATATTATTATATAAACAGTATTTCACAGTTTACACTGCATCTATTAGCTAAATCAGTGGTTGTTTCAGATGAGTGAGGTGTTTAAACATTTAGAATTTGGAACTATGACAGCTTAATGTAGATTTTATGAGATATTGAGGGTGATGCTGGGTAACAGATAAACAGCTTTTCCGGTACTGATTGTCTGTGTTGGATTAGGCAGGATCACATGTTTGCTAATCTTTGAAGGGTAAAAATGTCTGGTGTGCGCTCTCTGTCTGCAATATATGACCTCTGACAAGTAGAGAGAATATTTTTATGATTTTAGCAGATTAGTTTCAAAAATGCCTTTTAGGTAGTACTTTATTTTTATTATGAGTTAAGTAGATTAGTTAGCATGAAAATACTAATAAATACTAATAAAATACTAATAATACTACAAAAATACTATAAAATGTTAAATAATCTTAGATAAAGTTACAACATTTTTACATTAACAAATAATGTTTTAAAAATTGTAGTAAACATGAATCTGAGCTAACATGAACTATAATGAAGAACTGTTTAACTAACATTAACAAAGACACAGATACGGTTACAAAAGTATTGTTCAATGTAAGTAAGAAATAATTGATGATGGAACAAATAATTATTTGAAATTATTGCACACCTGAGATGGTGATGCAGACTTATTATTCAATTTTTGGCTGTTAATTCATATAATATGAAACTGTAATGCCTTCGAATGTTAAACCAGAAAATTAGAATCAAGCATTTACCAGCCCCGTTATGTTTACTTTAATTATTGCAACTTTATGGTGTTTTCCTTTTACATATTGGTTTAGAAAATTATTTTATTTCAGACAAGTTAATAAGGATTTGAATAAAAAATCTAAAGTTGTTTCATTCGGCTGTGTTTTCATAATTGCAATAATTACAAAACCACTTATATTTAATTTTTTAGATGCAATTTCCATGTTAACCTTTTAATTGCATTTATAACAAGTTGAAAGTGGCCATTCCCATTTCTAAATATTCATTCATTCATTCATTTTCCTTTGGCTTAGTCTCTGATTATCAGAGGTCGCCACAGCCGAATAAACCACCAACTATTCCAGCATATATTTTACGCAGTGGATGCCCTTACAATCACAACTCAGTCCTGAGAAACACCCTCTATCATCTACTCACACTCACACACTATGGCTAATTAACCTATAGTCTTTGGACTTTGGGGGAAATGGGACCACCTAGAGGAAACCCAAGCAAACATGGGGAGAACATGCAAACTCCACACAGAAATGCAAACTGACCCAGCTGGGACTCGAACTAGAGACTACTTGCTGCGAGTGCTAACCACTGACCCACTGTGCTACCCATTTTTAAACATTAACACTGCAAAATTCTTGATACTCAGGGCAACTATTTGACCAATGTCTTTTTAGCAGTGTTGGTTTGGCTACTTTCCTATTGAAAATGGGCCACAATGTTGTACCTTGTCCTAATTAGTTGCCCTGTCACCAGGTTGCCCATTGATGGCATCCTTTTCCAAAGTTGCCCGGCAACATTGCTAAAAAAGTCTGCCCTGCAAGTGTAGCATAAGCATCAGCATAAGTCACGACAACATTTTTTTGTTGCTTAACAAAAGTCAATCACAATTCTTCGCTTTTTGTTTGAAGTGACTAATGTAAATTGAAATGACCTATTAAGTTGATTCAACTTAATAGCCTAATTGAAGCTACATTTTCCTTTTCTGCCTACATCTAAACTTTACATTTAGATGGAAAATCTTTTCCTTTACTGTCACAAAATAACTAACCAAATGACGATTTGATTAAACAATAACAAATTAAACATTATAGAAAATAAGCAAGATGGCAGAAAGATTTTGATAGACATAAGATTGTTTACTTATTTAACTATTGCTCACTCACTTTCTTTCCTTCAGTTTATTCCCTTTATCAGGGGTTGGCAACATATTTTCAGAGATAGTTTCCCCATAAATAAAACTTCTGGCATCATCAACACAGCCTTAGCTTTACACAAACTTGCATAGGTATGAGTTAATTTGAAAAATTATGGAGACCAGTATCGATTGACTTCCATAGTATTTGGTGTTTTTTTTTCTACTATGGATGTCAATGGTTACAGGTTTCCAACATTGTTCAAAATATCTTCATTTACAGAAGAAAAAGAAAACCATAAAGGTTTGTCACCACTTGAGAGTGAGCAAAAAGTGTTTTTTTAATTTGGGGTGAAAAGTTTCTTCAACCTCTTAAGGCTCAAGGTGTTTTTTTACAAGCATTTTTTTATTTCTCTTTGTTATTTGGGCTTATTGGAACCTAATTAGAATAAAACCTAAGTATCATCTTTTGATATAATGTGCTTTTAGAGAAAAATGATATCCATATATAAGGACTCGTGGTTTGAATTTAAATAAAACACTTTTCCTGACTGTTTTTTTAATGCATTTATAACATATAATTCTTTTTGAACATGGTTTGACTATCAAGAGAGTGAAAGCAAATGCCCCCTCTCCCCCCCATTTTGGACAGTTAAAAATAGTGTTTGCGACATTCCATATGCTGCAAAACAGTTGTAGGATAACACCATGTCTGTAACAAAATATAAAACATTTAAAGTTTTTTAAATAGCCACTTAAAAGCTAAAATGTGCTGTCCACGTATGTGGCTACTCAAGCCTTGGGAGGTTAATTATTATTTACATTTTATATATATTATCATATTTAATTGGCATTTTATAATTTTTAGCAGCAGCAGTCAAGAAAAATCTTTCATTAAAATTATCCCTACATTATTGAACGACACATATTTAGGACAATTTAAAAAAAAAACTTTTTTGACCCACTTAAAATGTTTACAACTGTATATTGTTGCTTCAATAAATCATAATTTATAGTTATAGCCTACGTTATCACAGAACATTGACCTGTAAGGATCTGTTAGTGTTTTACAAAAGCTCCACAGGTTTACACATCATCATCAACTGAGTGTAGCCTACTGTAAAACTGTAAGGGTGTATTCTTCATACTGTACCTGAAGAACGGCCCTCGGTGTCCTGCATGTATGTGCGTGTGCGTGTGATAGAGAGAGTGTGTACTTATGGTTGACTGTCTCTAGGTGAGTGTGTGAAGACTCTCCCACCGCTCATGCCACTCCCTTCAGGTGAACGGAAAGCTCCTTCCTTCTCGCTGCACGTCTATAAAACAAACCAAAAACAATCCAAACCTCTTCCAACGTCTGCACCCAAACGGCTAACATTTCAAAAACACAAATTCAACATTTCTGAAGGACTAAAAAAAACTATAAAAACAGGCTGGAGATGGAGGCAGCGCCGGGCGGTCTCGGGCGCTGTTCGTGCGCGTTCTGGCTCGCCGTGTCTTTCGACGTGCTCGGACTCATCATATTGTTGCTCGGCGTTTTTGGAGATCTCTTCTTCTATGACTTTTTAATATACGCGGGAGCCATCATCATATTCCTGAGCCTCATCTGGTGGGTTTTCTGGTACACGGGTAATATCGAGGTGCCTCCCGAAGAGCTTGAGGATGATGTGGGCTTGCTGAAAAAGGGTAGGGGTTTGGCTGGAGTGGTCAGGAGGTTCTCCAGTCGCCTCTCCAGCGGCATCAGGAACTCTTTCAGGAGAAATGGGGGACCCAGAGGTCAAGGTGCGACGCCTGGTCAGGGGAAGCACAGAAGAGAAGTGCCAGTGACTCTTGCAATGACCTCTCAGGATAATGTGAGCACTGTTTCTGGGGCAGTGACCGGAGAGACTCAGGCTATATGAACCACCATGTACAGGTTAATAACACAGTCATGTTTTTATTGTTTTTACAACAATTCCAATGTCACTAGTTGATCAATTCATGTTTGACCAAATCAAATATGTCAGATGGTGTCCTAAAAGTGTGTTCCACTCCTTCTTGATGATAATTGTCACATGGAGATTTTAAAAGTATCCACAGAGAGACAGAATGCATGTACAGTTGTCCTGAAAGTGTGTTTTATTCTCTTACTCATTGTAATATTTGTCACATGGAGATTTAAAAATCATCCATAGAGAGAAAGAAAACATGTCAAGTTGACCTGAAAGTGTGCTTTGCCTCTTAATCATGATCATATTTGTCACACAGACATTTAAAAATTATCCATAGAGAGAAAGAAAATGTGTAAGCGAAATGACTTTGAGGAAGTATTTGCATAAGTAAAGACAGATCACTCGGTTAAACATCAACCATGAAACCTTATAGCTCAACGAAGGACAACAGTAATGTAAAATACAACAGATGTACTGTATAGGCCTATTAATATTTATGAGACAGATTCATCCTGACAATGTATATTGTGAATATTCTTCTTATAATTTAATAGAACAGAATATAATAGATTTATTATATATAAGAGATGCGTTGACAGGCTGTTTAGCAGTCCGCAAGGTTTTTTAAGGACAAACACAAATAGTTGCAAATAAAAATTAACAAGAAGAAAGGTAATGCAACACAACGGCTAACTCATAATATGGGTATGATTTACACACTGGTATTACTAAGTTACAACATGAAAGACAATAAAGTAAAATAAGGGATTTATAAATTGTGAATAAAGTGTGTATGAAAGTATAAAAATGGCTTGTTTTCATACAGAGAGACCTTTTGAAAACAGCAATAAGCTTTATAAATAAAATGTTCTTGTTTTATTTTAACAGGCTACAGAAGAGGATAATCAACCATGACAATGCCTAAGCAGAGTTTTATTTTTTTTTCTCTTGTTGAAATATGATTTTATTTTTTTGATATTGTTGTTTTTATCACAAGTGTTTACAATTGTGTATTATGTAAAATACTCTTTTGTTGATTTGTTTTGTGCTTTGTACTCTATTTTGAAATTATGCATTGACAAGAGCAGCAATAAATGATTATGTATTTTCCTACATTTATTTGTGTGTTTTATAGGCCTTAGTCTATGGAGCCCGGTCAGTCTCAAAAATAATACATTTACAAAATAAAAAAACATGCATACACAACACAATTCACATTTACAAAATCCAATTTGTAAACACACAATTTGTGATTTCAAAAGCCAAAATCAAAAAAAATGTTCGCCAAATGAATTGGATTTGTGTATTTATGAATCTTGTTTTGAATTTATGAATTCGATTTGCATATTTTGTAATTTACTAATTGTGTATTTATGAATCGTGTTTTGGGCGATGCGGTGGCGCAGAAGGTAGTGCTGTTGCCTCACAGCAAGAAGGTCGCTGGTTTGAGCCTCGGCTGGGTCAGTTGGCGTTTCTGTGTGGAGTTTGCATGTTCTCCCTGCGTTAGCGTGGGTTTACTTCGGGTGGTCCTGCTTTCCCCCACATTCCAAAGACATGTGGTACAGGTGCATTGGGTAGGGTAAATTGTTCGTAGTGTATGAGTGTGAATGAGTGTGTATGGATGTTTCCCAGAGATGGGTTGCAGCTGGAAGGGCATGCGCTGCGTAAAACATGTGCTGGATAAGTTGGCGGTTCGTTCAGGATTAATAAAAGGACTAAGCCGAGAAGAAAATAAATGTATGAATCGTGTTTTGAATTTATGCATTGGATTTGCATATTTTAGAATTTACGAATTCAATTTACGAATTGATTTTATGTTTTTTTTTAATCGTCTTTTGAACATACAAACTGCATTTTGTGAATGTGAGCTTCGTTTTGGATGTATTGGTTCCATATAAGTCTGACATGGGTTTCAAACAACAAGCGATCACAACCCGGACATGTTTTAGTGTCCTGCTTTTATTGAATCTCAAACATTTCTACTGTACAACCTTTGGACAGTTAGAAGTGCTATTAGCTTTGCTTCCTCTTATCTTTGTTTGCTCATACCAATTTAGAACCAACGGGTGTAAATGAACAGGATGGGTGGCAGACAGTTTGATGTTTAACTCTACGACAGCCCTCGATGTTTCGCAACAGTTTACATATATTTATGTTAAGCTTTGGGTGTTTTAGCTTTATTTCTCAGTAGGTGGTTCATGTCTTTTATGTGATTTTACATGTGTTCATACATGGCATCACTTGTTGAAAATTGCACACTTAAGCTACATAAAGCAACTGTAGATGTGTTTACTGAGAAAGCAGGTTTCTTAATGAACTTTGATATATAGAACTGGGCATGGGACGATAACTGGTTTTAAGGTTTACCACGGTTTGAAAAAGTCAAGATTTTAAAACCACTAAAATTTACTGTTTTACTGTTCCTAAGGATTTCAAGTTATTTTAATGTATTTTTTATGTGTTGTAAGAAAATCAGTGTTTTTAAATCTAATATAGCTAGCAGAAGTCAATGATTTATTTAAACTATTTAGCCTGACATGTTTACCTTTCCAAAATATTTTAAATGTGAATTGTAAATTGAAGAAATGTCAAATTAAATACTGTATATTGTGTTTAAAATGGAAAAATGTGCTACTTTTACTAAGACATTAAAAAGTGAAATATTCTAGAGCTGTAATCAAAATACCTTGATATGATTTTTATCCAAGGTTATCATATAGTCACAAACTTATACCGGCCCATGCCTGTATAGAACTCTCAAATCAGCATTCTAGGGTGAAACAAAAACAAGATTTCACACAACCCAAAGTATAAAAAAAAGGAATTATATGTAAATTGTTTTGTGACATTAATTTTGTGAAAAAAAATAAATAAACAAATGCCACGAGTCTGAAATAGAAAACATTTGGTTATGAAAATTCTTAACATTGACAATGTTTTTTGTTACTACATTCACTCATTTTCTCTTTGGCTTTGTCCCTTTATTAATCCGGGGTCGCCACAGCGGAGTGAACCGCCTGTTTTTTGTTACTTCATTTTATTAAAACAGGCTAATTATATTTAAATTTTTACTTTTAACTTATGTGAGATTTATATATTTTAAGTCAGTTAACATATTGTGAGTGGAAAAGAATTGTGAAGTTAATTTGATTCAACCTAAATAAATAAATAGTACAAATATTTGTATAGGGATCCACCATATAACCTATAATTGATCTCTATCTAATCTTATATAGAGAAAGTACAATATTATATTCATTCATTTTCTTTTCAGCTTAGTCTCTTTATTAATCAGGGATCGCCACAGCGGAATGAACTACCAACTCATCCAGCATATGTTTTACACAACGGATGCCCTTCCAGCTGCAACCCATCACTGGGAAACACTCATAAACTCTTGCATTCACACACAGACACAGCCAATTTAGCTTACCCAATTCACCTTTAGCGCATGTCTTTGGACTGTGGGGGAAACTTGGAGCACCCGGATGAAGCCCACGCCAACACGGGGAGAACATGTAAACTCCACACAGAAATGCCAACTGACCCTGCTGATGCTCGAACCAGCGACCTTTTTGCTGTGAAGTTATCATGCTACCCACTGTGCCAAAGTGTTGTAAAGTGTTACCATATTCACTTTATCATAGACAAATCGTAAATGTTAACACTCAATTTTGTAATATACGTAGGCAACCTTTTGCCATCTGTCTGTCCACCAAGGAGCCCCGTGATGAACAATATTATTGTAAGCAAAGCAAGACAACATCAAGTCATCATTACACTTCAAACCACAAGGTGGCAGAACCTTTCTTTAACACAACCTCCATTTCTGTAACACAACTGAACTAAACCGGCTGCTTCCGTAACAACAAAACAGAGCTTCCGGTTGGCGTATCGCGGCATGGTCACGCATGTGACAGCTACATTATGCGTATAATGCTTAATTTAGGTATATATTTATTTGATTAAATACTGTTTGGTAAGTGCCGATTAATTACCTCGCGTAATTAATTGTAATAACAACGAGCAGTCGTTAAAGATCTTCGCACATCATATATGCTGTTGTTTATATTTACGTTATGTGTGTATTTGTATAGGCAGTGTTTACATAATAAACTGATAAACGGATACATTTGACAGCTGTTAGTTGTCGTTGACAATATTGTCATATTGTTTTATCTGCTTTCAGAACATTGTGTTTCTCATACATAATGGAGATTGAAGGCAGAGATTTCATCAATACACCACCATTGAAAACGGTGCGCTTTGGAGGCACAGTTGCCAATACTTTGGCTAAACTACAAAAGGTGCGTTAGACTAACTTAAATTATAAAAAACATTACAACGTATGAGTATTACTATCTGTAATACATGCCCTGACATGTTCTGATTCAGGGCGACACAAGCGACTATGAGCTGATAAAACATCAACTCTCAGACCCGGATATTAAGGCGAGTCTTATTTTTATTCACTCTTTCGGTCTTAAAATGAAGTTCAGGACTGTTTAGTTTCAATTCAGTAGCAGTGTATGTCAATGTTTTAATTTTCATGTTATCAGTTATTGTCAATAATGCTGTTATTTAGCTCTGTTGAGTTCAGTGTTAAGTCAATTTCAAGTAGTTGGAATAATTATTTTAAAAGTCATATTTTTTTCCTTAAGGTGCACTTAGATAAACCCACTCACAAATATTGAACTAAAGTTGGTTTTATATTCGCACATACAGACTTTCACCTTAATAATATAATTTCAGAAAAGTAGTCTTTCCAAATTCTAAACAGGAAAACCATATTAGCAACCAAAGACTACCCAAGTACAACACTATTCACAGTCAATCAAATAGTGCTAATGTTGTTTTGAAGGCATTCTTGCATGCAATTTCAGACCGAATATTCAAAGTAGCTTGTCACAAATTGTCACTGTTTAAAAAGGAATGAATGTGTGAATATAAAACCAACTTTACCTCATTCTCACAAATCAGTATGAGAGCAATTCTATGCAAATGTCAACCTTGCCATGAAAATAAAAGTTTCCAGCAAAATAGCAAACATTTTTTTTTTATGTAGGCTTGTATTGTACAGTACTGTAAAAATACTTCAATGTCTTTGTCAATGTTTTCAAACAATTATATTTGATTTATTAAAGTCACACAAGTGCCACTTTTACATTGGTCACATCCAGAACAGAAAGATAACAAAGCTTTTTCCTCATAAATGTAAAATAAAATAAAATCAATCATTTTTGTTCTATGGAGAGACAACTCTTAGCATTTTCATTAGCATGTTGCAATATTTCTTTAACTTTTCTACAAAGTATGTTGTATACTGTAAACTCGCAAACTTTTTTAGTCACATCCATGTTTATTTTCCTTATTTAAAATATAAAATATGTTTACAGATTGATATTTTTCTGATCCCATAACTCATGTGGTTGGTTGATTTGGAAATTATAAACAGATGTTTTAATATATGTCATAGGTCTCAAACTCAATTCATGGATTTCCACAGCTCTGCACAGTTTTGCTTTAACCCTGATCAAACACAGATGATCCAACTAATGAAGGTGTTCATGACTCTTTTGAACACCTCAATTATTTGGATCTCCTGTGTTTTATCAGGATTTGAGAAAAACTATGCAGAGCTGTGGCCATCCAGGAATTGAGTTTGAGACCTATGGTATATATAGATATATACATATATACTTTCTACATGAATTTATGTTTTGAAGTTTTAGATGATTTTGAGATGACTTCAAATGTCACATCCATAACGCTGGAATTGCTCATAAGTGATTCATTGATAAATCGACTGAATCAGAATGAATACTGGAGGCTGTTAATAAATTTCTGTTTTCATTGTCGTGCTTATCTCATTGCAGGATGCTCAAATTATCAACTGGTTGCAGGAATTTAGGACATGTGTCACTCAGCTTGGCAAAGATCACGAGCAATTAGTATATGTTGTTTTGGTGAGTGAAAGACTAATCTGTCTAAAGTTATATTTCAAAGCTATCAGGTCTCTAATGCAGCAAATATTTCCTGATACAGAAACTGCCGTGGCTTGGTCGCAGTCAGGCTGTGGTGGAAGAATATTTGGCTTTTCTGAGTAACCTGGTGTCGGCACAGACAGTTTATCTCAGAGCTTGTCTTCGAATGGTCGTCACTAATTTTTCACCGAGTAAGATTTATTATGATTTCTTGTTAGCACTTCACTGCTTTCACATTGTATAACATCATGTAAAAATCATGTTTATTTTCCTTTTTTCGCAGAGAGAATCAGAATCCAAGAAGGAAATGTGGATATTTCAGATTCTGATGATGAAGATGAAAGTTTGTAGACTTTTTTGTGATATTAATTATGTGTGATTTGTGACAGTTTCTTTAAGGCAAGTCATTTCACTCGGCGGCCGTCTTTCAAATGCCTCTCGTTTAGTATGCTCGGGCATTCTTATTGCATGGAGAAGCATCAAATTCTCTAAAATTGTTTGCCTAGCTTACTATTGAATTTCATATTAGAAATCACCAATAAAAGTAAACAACAACTGTCCTTTTAGTTTCATTTTTAAACATTCAAATTACACAAACTCTGCAGAAACTCATGTCTGGTCCAATCCCCTCTCCCGGAATATTGTCAGTCCATAGCGATTGGTGATTGGCTTCTGTACTTGAAGGAACGCTTTATTCGCCATATAGTGATCAATGATGGCTCCTTGCCATATTGACCGTTACACTTTTCCCTATTCAAAAAGACACGAGTGACATGTCTTGTGTATCCTGTAGTCTTTGTTTGTGATCACTGGTGTTTTGACTGTTAATTTTGTTGATGTACCATTTTATACATTTTAATGGTCTACCCTTATACTTTAGTCAGAATATATGAGAGTTTGTTGTTTGGCTAAAAAATTTTGCTGCTATTATTGATTTTTTGATTATTGATTATTCAATCTCATCGCAATATTTTGAGATAAATAATCATTGAGCAGTATTAATTTACTATTATATTATATCATTATATTGTATTGTGCTATATTATATTAAATTATATTGTTCATTATGAATAGTGGTATATTGTCTTATAAATAGTTTGTTAGCTGTTAACTACTCTTTCTCTCTATAGACTGTTAGCATTAATGAAATAAGAGCAGAGGGTCACTAATCCACCTTCTGTTTCACACAGTAATTAATTTTCTTTTCACATTTATGCAGATCTGCCAAGGACATTTGATAATTGTCATCAAGCTTTACAGCTTATCGCAAGATATGTTCCTTCGTAAGTGTCCTACAAAACCCCCAAAGCTTTTTTATTTTTGTTTTAGTAGATAAATACCTATCTTTTAACTTACAAACACTTTTGCTTGCTCTGTCAGAACCAGTCGGTTCCTGATGCCAATCCTCACTGACAAGTTTCCTTTTGTGCAGAAATCTTCCAGAACGCTTGTGAGTAATTTGAGTAAATAAAGAGTGAAGTGATGTAATTACGTGTGTTAATGAAGATAATATCATGTGTTTCCTAGGAGTGTTATGTACACAACCTGTTGAGGGTTACGGTCTACATCCCTGACCTGAGGAAAGACGTACTAGAGCTCATCATCAGCAAGATGCTTATGCTAGATGTATGTGGCTTGTGTTCAGACAGTATACTGGTGTCTGTACCGTGGTGCAGGTGTTTGACCACTGATTTTGATGTTTAGGTTAGCGCACCGCGAAGTGAGATTGAAGAAGTGGAAAGTGGAGCTCAGCAAGGCGCCAGTGGAGCATCACAGGATGACTGCCTCTTCAACATGGTACACAAACCTCAGAAAATGACAAAACAAGCTGAGTGCAGAGATAAAGAACAATAGGATACTTTTTACTCCTCCTCAATCAGCTTCAAACTTGTATGAGTTTGTTTTTTTGGAAAACACAAAAGATGTTTTAAAACCTAAAAGTTGATGGTCCACATTGACTTCCATAGAAAGAGAATATGTTGGGGAAGTCAAAAGCACATAAGTAAATGCGTACTCAGCCAAACAGCAAAGAGTGCAAACATATATTTAAAAAGGCGGCAACACCAAAGTTCCAAAAATACCATTTTATTAAATTAAAAAAGCTAACACAAAGTGTATAATGTTTCGAGCACACTGGCTCTTCATCAGATGACAAGTCAAGTCTTTAGGGACCAACAATGTTTTTTCGAAATGTTTTTTTTTGTGTGTGTTCAACAGAAAAATTAAAAATGTTCAGTTTTAGGTGAACTATCCTTTAATGGGTCCAATTTAAAGGCAAAGTTTACTCAGAAATGTACATTCTTTGAAGTTTTGAAGGGATAATGCACCCAAAAATAAAAATGGACTCACTCTGAAGTTTCTTTTTCTGTTGAACACAAAGGAAGATATTTTGAGAAATATTGTAACTATTGACTTCCATAATAGGAAAAAGTACTATATCTACCAGTTTCCAACATTACAGCAACAAAAGAAAAACAAACAGATTAGGACCAAGAAAAGGTTGAGTAATTGATGGCTGAATGTTCATTTTTGGGTAAACTATCCCTTTAAATAAATTATTGGAGTCACTTATTGAATTAGAAATCAAAATTTAAGCTTAAAAAACTAGACAAAATTGCACTAATTTAGTCAATAATATTAATACCAGTTTGTTTGAGGAAACAAAAAAGCTCATGATTAGATTTGTTTTGTTTTTTTAATTTCTCATTTCTATTTTGAGGATGAGGAAGAGGACTCACCCCTGAGCTCGGGAGCTGATGGAGGAGCAATGGTTCATCCTGTGGCAGAGAGACTGGACACCATGATGACTGTCCTCCTGGCTTACATTAAAGACGTTTCCCATGTTAATGGTCGGTAACCTCTTTTTAAATAAAATAAAAACTCACTTGTGTTTTAAGGTTGTTAATCAGCAGAGATGTTTAATCTCAATTGAGTTAGTACATCCTGTAGTTTTTTAGGAAACAAAACAAAAAAAAGGTCACTACTTTTCAAAAGTTTGGGCTTAGTAGTTTTTTTTGTAAGATGAAAGAATTTGGTACTTTAATTCAGCAAAGATACATTAAAATAGTCAAAATCTACAGCAAATGCATACAGTTGAAGTCAGAATTATTAGCCCCCTTTTAATTTTTTTTTCTTTTTTAAATATTTTACAAATTATGTTTAACAGAGCTAGAAAATTTTCACAGTATGTCTAATAATGTTTTTTCTTCTGCAGACAGGCTTATTTGTTTTATTTCGGCTAGAATAAAAATAGTTTTAATTTTTTTAAGCACCATTTTAAGGTCAAAATTATTAGCCCCTTTAAGCTATATTTTTTCAATTGTCTACATAACAAACCATCATTATACAATAACTTGCCTAATTACCCTAACCTGCCTAGTAAACCTAATTAACCTAGTTAAGCCTTTAAATGTCACTTTAAGATGTATAGAAGTGTCTTGAAAAATATCTAGTAAAATATGATTCACTGTCATGGCAAAGATAAAATAAATCAGTTATTAGAGTCATTAAAACTATTATATTTATAAATATGTTTTAAAAATATCTTCTCTCCATTGAACAGAAATTGGGGAAAAATAAACTGTATATATATATGTGTGTGTATATATATATATATATATATATATATATATATATATGTGTGTGTGTATATATATATTTTGTGCATCATTCCCTCATAGCAAAGTAACGATAAGAGGGACGTGGTTAGGAATATTTTGGCTGAAACATCAAACTGACATTATCAGAGAAGGAGTGACTCTCCAAACATGAAAGCAAATGGTCAGAATTTGAAGATTACCAAAATAACCTTTTTTAGTAGAATAACTTGATAACAATAGAATAGAATAACAATGTGCACTAACAAAACAGCTATTAAGCAGCACAACTGTTTTCAACACTGTTAAAAATAAGAAATGTTTCTTGTGACCATAAATACTAGACATTTTTTAACTGAGGCAGAGGAGTGAAAAATCTTGACTACCCCAGACTTTTGAATGTCAGCTTTGTGTAAATGTGTTTATTGTTTTGGTATTAAACATGTTTATTTAATAAGTAGCATACATTATTTCTATGTGTATATGAAGAATCCCTCTAATTTTGTATCAATTTATCCCACTGATGTGTTTATTTCTATTGTGCTATCTGTTTTTAGGTACATTAGATATTGAGAAAACCAAAGCTCTCTACCGAGACCTGGTGTCGGTGTTTGATAAAGTGGTTCTTCCCACTCATGCTTCCTGTCACGTGCAGTTTTACATGTTCTACCTGTGCAGCTTCCGCCTGGTCAGTTCACATTTCTCTCGTTCTCAAAAAGTCAAAACCAAAAAAACACATGCATTAAAAATCTCATGTTTACTTTTCAGGGTTTAGCTGAAGCTTTTTTGGATCACTTGTGGAAGCTTTTACAAGGTCCCAACCAGCCCTCCGTCCTCCGGCAGTCCGCTGCTGGATACATGGGCAGCTTCATGGCAAGAGCCAAGTTTTTACCAGTATCGTACGTGACCTTATCAATCAGCTTTGTCAAATAAAGCGTGGTTTAATATTTAATCATCTATTTTTGGCAGTGGTTTGTTTCCTCGATTACGTGATGAAACATTAATGCCTCTGCTTTATTTTGTGTAAGCCGCTGCTGTAGAGTTTTGTCTTTTCCACAGGACAGTGAAGGCCTGTCTCGACCTGCTGGTTCCCTGGCTGCACCTTTACATCGACAGTCAGGACTCTGGGTCTAAAGCTTTCTGCGACATCAATCTGCACGGCCCCTTTTATACCGCCTGCCAGGCTGTGTTTTACACGCTCATCTTCAAACACAATGCCATTCTGGAGGGCAATATGAAGAAAGGTCAGCTCATGTGGGATTTAACTGTTAGTACTAGTTTATGTTCTGTAGTTCATTCATAAGTGCAAGCTTATTTCAATCCCACTCAAACATGACATTTCTCTGTGATAGTTGACTTTCTTTTTGTAATTAATTTCTTATATTATAATAGTAATGTCTCGGTTGCAGTAGATCTGTAGGTCAAAGTTGTGATATTTGGTGCTTTAAAGCATTGTAGCCGAATTACAAAACATATTACAGCTAATCCAAACAGTTAGAAGTGTGTTGAAGTATTAAAAATACTGAAGCTAAAAAAAATCATGCAAACGCATAGATTTAACTTTTAATAAACTAAAATACAACAGACGTGGAAAAATGTTCAACTTATTAAAAACTGCACTACTGAAATAACTCAAATAATGATACTAAAATAACACTGATTCATACAATGACTTAAACGCACTGCTTCTAAAATGAGATCTTTAAAGGACCTATGAAGTGCTTCGATTTTTATTTGATGTTTGACGTAATCTTAACCGAGACACAAAGAGAGGGTGGGACATAGAGTAGCTATCCTTTTTTTTCAAAACCGCCATAGTGTTTTGTTTTTATCACCGCTCAGCCAGGTGTGTTTCTTAAGGAGACATAGAAAATGTGCAGAGCTGGTGGTCCTCCAGGAACATGGTTGAAAAACACTGCTAGAGGGTATTTGATTGGTTATGATTTGATGAGAAACTGAAGTATTAGGTGATGTGAATAAAACCATTGATCTATTTAAGAGGAAGTGACAGACTGAAGGCTTTACATGTTGATATCAGTTATATATCTTCTAAACATGGGTTTATCACTGTTTTAGAGCACACTAGCTTAAAGATATCTTATAAAGCTAACAAACTTTAATTTAACTTCATGTCATGGGAGCTTTACATATTTTTACACAAATGCTTTAGATACATAAATGTGCATATATAGTACAGATAATATATATATAATCGTAACCGTGTGTGAAAATCAAGAAATATTAGAAATAAAGTGTCGCTTCAAAACCCTCGTCCTGAAATCCCTTATGAGTAAAATTGGTAACACTTTACAATAAGGTTCATTACTTAATGCATTTACTAACTTGAACTAATCATGAAAAACACTTGTACAGCATTTATTAATTATAATTGAACATTTACTAATGCATTATTAACATCCAAACTTATGTTTGTTAACATTAGCTAATACACCTTGTGTTTACATGAACTCACAATGAACTACTGTATTTTCATTAACTAACATTAACTAACAGGATCAAATACTGTAGTAAAGGTATTGTTCATTGTTTGTTCACGTTAGTAAATGGATTAAGTAACATTAACTAATAAACCTTATTGTAAAGTGTTACCGTAAAATAATTTTGGAATGTTTAAAGAATTCTGCATTCTGATATTTAGTTTGATGTTAATATTAAAACTTAATATGATGTTGAAATTAAGTTTTATATATGTAGTATTTTGTTGTTGTTTTTAAACTGCATTGTCAGTTTAAAGGATTGGTCCAGAGTGTATTTTTAAGGTTTGGTTGTGTTTATGGAGTGCAAAGCAATGTGTGCTCATGCTTCATTTGTAACAAATCATGTTATTTTTTCATATATCTTACTTCGATTATATACAGCTACTCGGCTAACATTAAAACCACTGTCATATTTCCTAGTTCCTATGAAAGCCCACCCTCAAGAGGTTCGGATTTTTCAGCGAACATAATGTGCTATGATTCACAGATTGGCTCCATGTTACCAGGAAAATTCTCTGCTACAACATTACAGCACATCTGGCCATGTCTCTTCACTGCATGGGGTGTATGTGCATAACCTGAAGGGTTTTTGACTTCATTAACCCGGATGTATTTTTTTGTAGTCCAAAACCACGCTCACTGTAGGCTTTGCTCAACTAACTCTGTAAAAGCCAATGTCTCTCTTTACGTTAAACTTTGAGCGTATTACAATTAGAGATGTTGTTTTATGTTCACCCAGCTACATTACAAAACAACTAAAGTTTAAATTATGATATTGTAGTGGACCACCCCTTTAAGTTGTAAAATGATGCGTGACTTCTTCAAATTTGTTATGTAGTTACAGACTATTAATGATTTATTTTACATTTGCATATACACATGTATTTATTACTATGTATTTTCATTATTGCAACAAATTTCAGTGTAATTCAAATGGTTGTGTAAATTTCAAATTGATCCAAAACAAACTAATATGATTGGCTGAGATTGGCAATGAAAATTAGGAGTGGCTTAAAATAAAATAGAAATACAAATAAATTAACATGAACAAATAGGAAGATTATATACGTAAAATTGTCAAATTAAAAATGGTTTTTAATTTTGAATGCTTCTAAATTTTGTACCCCCCGTCTGCAGGGCTGGCGTATCTTCAGGGTTTGAATCTGGAGCGTATTGTGATGTGTCAGCTCAACCCACTGAGGGTCTGTCTGCCTGCTGTCACCAACATGTTTGCAGCCATCACCAGGTACAGCACCAGAAACATGCGTCATCGAATTACATAGCTTTATGAACATACAAGAACCACAACTGAGGGCAATTTCACCCATCTGTTGGCAGGAAGTACCAGCTCGTGTTCTGTTACACCATCATTGAGCGCAACAACCGGCACCTGTTGCCAGTGGTGAGGAGTTCTGTGGGCGGCAGCTCAGTGGCCACCAACACAAACCCCCTGGATAGTTTCTTCCCTTTTGATCCATACCTTCTGAAAAGGTAATAAAGAAACCATTTAACCCTGGAATAATGATCGACTAGACTCACATACTTACTTACATTTTTATTTATTTATTGTGACAGTTCTGGGAAACTCATTGAGCCGATCTACCAGGTGTGGGAGGAGCCGTCAGACTGTATGATTGGTGTGCCCAAGAAGGAAATCCCAAAGGTGATCAACTAACCTGCATTCACAGTGCCGATATTTATGTGCTTTAGGGCTGCTCAATATATAGTTTGAGCGTCAATATTGCAGTGTGGGTATCTACAATAGTCACATCGCAGTATTAGATTATTTATTAAGAATTAAAAGTAAAGACCATAGAATACACAAGACATGTCACTCGTATAGTTTTAATGGGGAAAAGTTGAACGGTCAATATGGCGAATGAAGCCCTGCCTACTAGCACAGGAGCCAATCATTGATCGCTATAGACTGACAGAGAAGCTCGGACCAGATGTGCGCTTTTACGGCAGTTTGGTGGTCAACAAAAACACTGGAATAAGAGATACATCCTCATAGAGCTTGAAGTTTGTGCTTTTAAATTAACCAACTATACTTGAAAACAAAAGTTTTTTAGTTTTGTTATCTGGATGATATGGACACAAGGTATTCAAACACCTAACAAACTTGTAAACAAAAAGGCGCTGTCATTTCTGGAGGAGACTCGCCATCATGACTGAAGCTGTGGATTATTTCAGAAAAGCAGTGCGATCAGACGATTATTAACCAGAGAATGATAGAACGTGTAGATTGGTCTTAAAAGAGGTTGGTGTCGTGATCTCGTTTCTTTCGAATGTGCATTAGCTCGGGCAACCTGAACATATGCAGATTTAGTTTGATTCGGACGTTAAGAAACTAAACTTGTGAGACAAATGTTGTTTAATTTTATTGGTGGTTCCAAATTTGTAAAGTAATCGTAAGCTTAGCAAACCCCCCATTCAGACGCCAAATGAAATGACTTGCCTTAAAGGGACTTTGTTAAAAGATAAAAATATCTACATTTTTTTAATTATTTATACAATTTTGACCATGTTTTACGCTTGATTGTTCAATTTCTATATCTGAGTACTACTAGACTTGGCAGAAAACCATGTTTATTTCACTTTTATTTTTTGCTATGTCGTATTTATATATATAAATATTGAAAAAGACTTGATCATCCCAGTCTATCTTAATGAATGAATTTTTTCTAAATAGATATATTTAAGTCATCTGGTGAAACTGTGCGTCTATATAGCAATATATATAGCAACATATACAAAATAACGCAATGTCAGGTTTTTCCTATATTTCCTAACATGCTCCTAAATAATGTGTTTGTAATTGGATTGATGATTCCATAAGATTTAAAAAACATTCATTCAAACACTTGAATTGATCTAAATGAATGTTCGGATTGAAAGGGGTGGTTTGTCTGTTTGTCCGTCGATCAAACACTTGTTCAAACTACTTATTTAAAGTGCGTTGAATCAACAAACTTCTTGAGTTTTTTTGTGGACAACTAGATTGTTTTATGTTCAATTCACTTAAATTAGTAAAAGTTCACTTAATTTGTGTTGCAACAACATGAAAGAATTGTGTGGAACACAGCATTTTTAATACAGCGAACAGCAAAAAATTACTTTGTTTTTTTTTTTTATCCAACTACAGCAGTCAACATTTGAAGTGGATCATCAACTGTCATCAAAGTTCTCCTAAAACTATTAAACAACATCAATTCTTGTTTTAGGGCAATTTTGAAAAGCTTTTTTGGTCCACTTCAAATGTTCCTACTATATCAGTCAAATTCAGAAGTCTCTGGGACACGCGTGCAATGAAATTTAGACATGCATAAGCCTGCGCATGTTTTAATAAATGCATGATAAAGCTGCTAGTCATGTAGTTACTAGGCAGCGTAATTAAGTACTTTATTTTAGAAATGGCAAAAATTAGCTATATAAATAATAAAAATAAAATAATTGTAGCAGTTGCAAAATATTATGAATTAGACATAAAAAAATGAAACTAGTAAAATAATAGAAAGAAATAATAAAATTACTCATATATAGAGCGGGGGTTTTGTTTGATGCCCATGTTAACAAATTAGAGCTTTCACACAGCACATAGGAAACTTCTTTCTTCTGTTGAACAAAAAGAAAGATGTTTTGAAGAATGTTTTAAAAATTGCTGTTGACTTCCATAGTATTTTGTTGTTCAAACTATGGATGTCAGTTTATCTTCCTTTGCCTTCAACAGAAGAACCAAATTCTTTGTGAGCTCACCCTTTAAAGCATCCTCGTTCATGTTATGGCACTACAACTGCCTCTCAAACTAGACAAAATGTAAGGCGGGGCTTGACTTTGTTCATCAGGCTTTGATTGGACGGTTGATCCTTGCTATTGTTGTGATGTCATGTGATTGACAGGTTCTCCTCATGTCAGTAGACAGAGAGCGGAGAGATCATTTTTCATTAAACACTATGAAGACACAGAACAGGTTATTTATAATAAACACTACGGTACTATTGAAAGGGACAGGATTGAAGTGTATTTTATCCCCAAGTCTCCACAAGGAAACTAAAACAGAATGAATTTCAGAGCATCTTGATTCACCCTGTGTTGTGTTCTGTCAGGGCTCTATGGAGGAGGAAGATGATTTTCTGCATGGAGAAACTCCTCATGGAGACTCAATAGTAGGGATGACTCCGGGCTCATATGAATCTCATCTGCAGAGCCCGCGGAGCGTCGGCTCTCCTCCAATCTCCTTCCTGCAGAGACCCTTCTGATACACACACACACACATCTCTCCATGAGGAGGCGCTGGAGAGCAACACACACACACACACACCAGCATTACTCCTACAGCAGGAGTTAAAAAAAAAAACCTCTAGGACATTTTAAGACTGCATCAAGACACACACACTTCAGATGTGTTAATAACAGGAATCAAACTCTGTTGGTGTTTCAAGTAGACAGTTTTCTGGAGAAAGCGTCTGTACAGATGTTGCGATCATGGCTGTGTGCTCATTTGGAGTAGAAAAGAAAGCTGTTTGTAACATTCTTCAGTTGTTTCTGGTGAGGTTTCATTAGTAAATGCAGTCAGTTCCTGTGTGGAGCTGTACATACTAGGTAATGTACATACTTCATTTAAAAATTTTAAATACTGGACTTTCAGTTATTGTGTATAAATATTGCAACTTGCACAGTAAATATTGTTTAACAAGAACAAAACAGTTGTCTGGGATTTTATTGTAATTTTGAAGATGCCATCTAATTTTTACTGATGAATAATATATATATATATATATATATATATATATATATATATATATATATATATATATATATATATATATATATATTAAGCCTTTAAATGTCACTTTAAGCTGTATAGAAGTGTCTTGAAAAGTATCTAGTCAAATATTATTTAGTCATCATGGCAGAGATAAAATAAATCAGTTATTAGAAATGAGTTATTAAATCTACTATGTTTTGAAATGTGTTAATCTGCTCTCCTTTAACAGAAATGGGGGAAAACTAAATAGAGGGGCTAATAATTCAAGGGGGCTAATAATTCTGACTTCAACTGTAAAAAAAAAAAAAAAAAAAAATATATATATATATATATATATTTAGACACACTTATATATATTCAGAAGTGGCTTATATAAAACGCAAAGGCCTCTAGATTCCGCTCATTTTACCAAGATATATAAGATCATGCCTTGGTATTTAATTAAGACAGTAAGGTCTGACTTTGCTCAGATTATATAGAATATGAAGTCATGGTGCAGTGGAAAAAGAATTAATATTGTGTATGACTCCCATGAGCTTGGAGGACTGCATCCATACATCTCTGCAGTGACTCAAATAACTTATTCAAAAAGTCATCTGGAATGGCAAAGAATGTTCTTGCAGGACTCCCAGAGTATATCAAGATTCTTTGGATTCATCTTCAATGCCTCCTTCATTTTACCCCAGAAATGGTTAATAATGTTCATGCCTGGTGACTGGGCTGGCCAATCCTGGAGCGCTTTGACTTTCTTTGCTTTCAGTAATTTTGATGAAGAGGCTGAAGTATGAGGAGCGCTATCCTGCTGAAGAATTTGCCCTCTCCTGTGGTTTGTAATGTAACTGGTCTCTAGTAAATCTCTAGTAAATGTAATCTAGTAAATCTAGAGAAGCACAAACGTCTAGACATTTCAGGCTGTTGATGTTGCCATCCACTCTGCAAATCTCTCGCACACCCCCAAACCATGATTTTTCATTTTCATTTTAACTATGCTGTTCTTTGAACATTCTAGCCATCAAATAGCCCTTAAAAATGGTTTCCACAAGTATATCAATACTTAAAGTTGCTGCCACATGAATCCTAACATTACATATTTTTTAAACCCGTTTTAAATAAATGTTAATACTTCTACATGTTTATTAAATACACAAATCTTTAGTATGTATATAGACATACATGGACAGTAATATATATATATATATATATATATATATATATATATATATATATATATATATATATATATATATATACATATATATACATACATGTATATAATAAATTTCAAATAAAAAAAAATCAGCATTTGGTATAAAATAACAAATAAGTTGCCAAATGTTGAAACATTTACATTTACTTTTAAACACAACATGATGCAGATATTTGTCACTTTGTCATTTTCTGGAAAAAAAAGTACTAAATGAACATTTTATTTTTAAACTTAAGATATACTTTGAACACATCTAGTAAATCTAGAGAAGCTGAGAGACAAGTCTTCTTGTTATGTGAAAATAAAGCATAACAAAAAATAAAATCCCCGAATTATTATATCTATTTACCTGGAGCTGTGTCACTCTAAATAAACAGTTTAAATGGACAGTAATATGTTTTTATTATTTTATTATTATTCATCTTTATTTAAAAAAAAGGATAGAATACATACATTAGAAAAAGCAGCAAAAAATGCAAGTTTAGCCTATTAAAATGAATAGCTATTATAAAGAAATGGAATTATCAAATCTCAAAAAAATGTTCTTCACTGTATAATTGAATAATTCTGATTAAAGAGCAGCGAATTAATCCTCATTTAGATTTTTCGTTTGATCACATTAAATAACAGCAGTGTCACTTTTCAAAATGCACACATCTATAATGAAAGCATTAGATGGCTTTCCTCACTGTTTATGCTCATTTAAGACAAAATTTATTTTGTTAAAGAGAAAACCCTCCAAGATTGACATTTTTAGATGTTATTATTATTGTTATTATTATTATTATTATTATTATTATGTGAATATGTCTGTTCAAACACACACTCAAAACCAAGAGTGTCCACCCTCACTCCGCTTTAAATATCTGTGTATTATCCATTTGTTTGGTTTGTATGTTTACAACTTAATAATTGAGGTGCAGTACATGCATATTACCAGAAAGAGGTCACTGGAAGGTCAAATTCAGTGATGCGTCTTTAACTGAACAGATGTGTGAAGCCACATCTGGAAAAAACAGACCGAGCTGTTGCAGATTACACAAGTATTAAAACCGTGTCAGCATGCAGCCCTTGCTAGCCAAATCAAATTTTAAATATTGTATGATGATGAGCAACATTGGCCCAGCAACGTCCATCAACACACACACACACAGCAACATTCATAATAATACATACAAAATCCCCCAAAAATCCGATCTGTGAAATGAAATCCAAAGCACACCTCACACGTTTGTTCTGACTTTATTAAAAACATTAAAAGAAAGATATTTAGGCCACACATATGATGCAATCTAGTTCAATCACAGGACTACATGTCGGCATCTGTAGAGCATGTGCTGTTATTAACATCAACAAACCATCTGCGTAACCGTGTACACACACACACATCCTCAGCAAATGATTGATCGCATCTTATTACATATTGATATAATTGACTGTAAGTCCTATACGGCGAGACAAAAGAGCCAAATACAGTGTGCTTATGAAAACAGTAACCTGAACCGTGGCCTTTGTTGGGCTTGAATGGGCGAATTCAGGGTGGAGCTGCAATATGACTCTGTTTCTCCATATGCTTGTGCCATGACGAACCAAATCCTGCTCAGTTTACCTGGAATATAAGAAGCTTTTAAGGCGTTTGACACGTGCGCAGAAGGATTAGTCTTTGATTAGTTTATACTACTGATGGTTGAGTGATTACTATGATACTTGTGTGGTTTTTTTCCAGTCTTCGCATTACAATTGTGATCATAACTCGTAAGTCTTTTGCTGTCTTCAGTAGTTTGTTTTTGTTTTGTGCCGCCATCATGTGAACAAACTAATTAGTGCAAGAACAAAAGGTTAATTGTCAGCCAATCAGAATTCAGCAAGTGTTTAAAGCGACATCCGATAAAACTGCAGCAAACTATTGTAAGAAATGATAGCGTCCAGTAGTGTGTAATAGTAATGGTTTACCTGTGTTTGGATTCCGAGACTGCATATTTCGAAGTCCACAAAGGCTGATTTGAGTGTTAGTTCTACTAAAGATTGATCTGAAGCAGCAGGAACATTAGTAATGAATGTTTTTAGAGTGACTTTAAACAATACAACCTACCTTGTTATGTATATTTAGGTTAAAAATATAAATCATAAAAAATTCATCTTCGTAAAATAAGTTACATTTAAAAGGGTTTGTATTTTTGACATTTGTATTGTTAGATATCAGCTAAACTGAAATGCAATATTCATGTGTAATCCTTGTGAGAGACTTGCAATGAATCTCGGGATAGTCTGGGCTGTAAAGAGGGCTTGACGTTAACCTTTCATTTATTTATTTTTCTGACCATGGTTTTAATATTGATATATATATATAAATAAGTTGACAACAGCACGTTTAAATTTACTTGGGAATTTTTATGTGTGCTCGGAATGGATCATTGAATCAGTGACTCACCTGATTTGTTCAAACTTGCTCAGTTGTTTAATATAGAAACACTTCAGTGTGATAGAGGTCAAATTTACTGTTTAATATTAATATTATGTTATATTTTTGAACATAAATTCAGATGAAATCACTGCAAAATTTGCTGTCATACTGGTATTTGTGAAAACAGTTCTCTGATTATGTCGTGTTGTTGAGCTGTATATGTTATGAATAGCACAATTCAATTTATGTTATGTTTGTCTCTGTGTTTGTGTGTGTCTTTTTTTGGTCAAGCTCATTTCATTCATTAATTTTCCCTCAGCTTAGTCTCTGATTTATCAGAGGTCACCACAGAGGAATAAAACGACAACTATTCCAGCATATGTTTTACACAGCGGATGCCCTTCCAGCCGTAACCCAGTACTGGGAAACACCCAAACACACTCACACACACTTATACACTTTAGCTAATTTTGTTCACCCAATTCACCTATAGTGCATGTCTTTGGACTGTGGGGAAAACCGGAGCCCCCGGAGGAAACTCACGGGAACACAGGGTGAACATACAAACTCATCACAGAAATGCCAACTGACCCAGCCCAGGCTCGAATCAGCGACCTTCTTGCTGTGAGGCGACAGTGCTAACCACTGAGCCGCCCTCAAGCTCACTTATTTATTTAAAATTTTTGGTGAAAATCAATCTGATCAACGCAATCTCACGGCAATTTGTAACTCGTTGATTTAGTGGCTAATTTGTATGAATTGTACGCTCTCCGTTTTACAGTTTACTATGATTTGCTCGTCCCCAAATGATGGTTAGGTTTAGGGGCGGGGTTTGGTGCCACGCCTCTTTTTTAAAATCATACATTTTCGTACGACTGAACTTGTATGAATCTCTACAAATTAGCAACTAAACTGACAAAATGTAAAATAGTTATGTTTCCTTGTGAGATCAGGCTGGACTTACTGCACAAGGCAGGGCTTAAAAACAAAAATAGCTCAGAAAAATTTCACACTTTGGGTTACTTGTCTGGTTGGACAAAATTTTTTAGCTCGCTTATAAAAAAAATTTCACCTGTTCTACTGAAGCGTTAACCTCAAGCCCTGTTATATTCAGTTAAACAGCTCTAGCGCCAAAAGATACATCTGTTGTCTGAAAAATAAAAGAATAAAAAAAGGAAGCCTTCACTCTAAAAAAAATGCTGGCTTGTTCCCAGCAGACACATAAGACGTTAATATTAGGTTAGATTTAGGTTGCCAGCATCTAAGGACAATGTTAATTTGATGTCCAATAATGGCGTGAAATGATGTTGACATCTGGTTGATTTTAGGTTGTGTTAGAAAGAGACCAAAATCCAAAATCAAGCCAACATCTTAAACCAACGTCATATTGACGACCATTACTGACATTTATTCGTCAGGTATGGCAATCAAAATCCAACACCTGATAGATGTCATACTGTTGACGTCCACACAACTTCAAGCTGTAACATCATTAGATGTTGATATTTGGTTGTTTGTAGGTTGTGTTGGAAAGTGACCTAAATGCTACATCTGTCCGACGTTGGACATTGACATCAGCTTTACGTTGGGTTTTGACGTCAACCTGATTTTCATTTCTAAGCAAAACAAAACGTCCCGTGACGTTGGGGTACAACGTCATTCTGACATCATGTTGACGTCCTGTGCCTGCTGGGTTGTAACACAATGTTGTGTGAAAAATGGACAAAACCAATGGTTGGGTTAAAAATGCAATTTAACTTTAATTAAAAATATTAACCCAACATCAAGTTCGTCCATATTTGACCAAACAGTGGATCACAACAACGCAGCATTTAAATTTAGACAGCCTTCGTTGTGTCGCAGTGATGCAACTGCATTTATCTATTGTTATCTAGTCTTTGTTGTGATTTGGCCTTTGTGCGACTTATTTTCCAGCAAATTCAGCAGTCTCAAGCGAAGTTCCCATCCATCATACAGACCAATAGTAATGTAGAGGATGCTGAATGACATCGGACAGACCTTACGCGCAAACTTGTCCAAGCGCAAACTGACATGATCACGGGAGACGTGAAGAAGAGGACACAGAAGGTTCAACGGCAAGATTTACAAGGTTCAAGATGGCAGCCGCGCACATACTTCAGAAGCGAGCATGTCTACGTGTCTCTGAATAATAATAAAATATCTGGACCCAAAATATAAAATCTTCAAAACGTCATAGCACTTCTCAGAACAGATACAAATAAGCATCATATCAAATGATGACGAGTAAGGACTGTCCCAACGTGTATTTCTAAAGTGAAATGTCATACATGTATATAACACACCTAACTCTAATAGAGAGGTCAGCTGCACGGTCGCATGTGTTTCATTACAGTTGTTCAATGAGGAAATATTCGGACAAAAAATCATCTGTGTATGGTAACCATCTGCTGTAAATGTTTTGCTGACATGACTGAAACCGCATTCGAGCATCTCAAAGAGCCGATTTCAGTCCCCTGGGTTGATTTCTGCTTTATATTATGACATTGAGTTCTGCTACTTGTTATATATACACATGGACGGCTTTAAAAAATGAGTTTGAGTTGAGCTCAGGCCTCTGAAGAATGAACTGAAGGAGTGAAAGCTCACAGTCTCTTTTTTTCCACAGTATGCTTTGAGTTCAGATATTGTGGATGATCTGGTTCATCTGGAGGCTCTATTGTCCTCTTCGCTCGGCTGCTGGAGTCCCGAGGACAGGAGGCTGTGGCCACTGGAGACTGGAACAAAAGACACCACAGATTTAAATGACACTTGTTCCTTGATCTTTTAAGGCAGTGTAAAAAATCTTATGACCATTTAAATGACTTTTTGAATATATTTTGTCTAATAGTTACATATGAATAATTTGTAAAGAAAAAGAAAATGAAGTATTTAAAATGTTTATTATTACAATAAAACTGATGTGATTTTAATATTACATGCAGCGTATTAAATGGGACCTATCATGCAAAAATAACACAGTTTAAACACAGTTGTGCGGCAGTAGTGTAAACGTAGTGAGCCTTTAATAGTAAAAATGTATTAATTCTATTTTTTAATAATCACACGATAAAAACAGTCTGTAGAAACACTTTGATTGACATTCTTCCTTTCTACATGTCATCAGAGGTGACATTGTCACCCATCAGTCACAATCTCTCCCTCATTAGCGTAAACAGCGTTAAGTAAAAAGCAGCCATTCGCCGTTAGATGTTTAACTATATACCTGCTAAAGTATGGAAGTATATCAGCGACTAAATGCTGATTTATACTTTCGCCTAAAACCACGTCGCAGACCTCCACTGACTGCGTGCCCACCTCACGAGACGGATGAGGCTCCGTTGTTTGTATGTATATGTATATACACACACACACACACACACACACATGTACAGGATATAAAATGATAGTCTTTAAAATGACAGGGGGCAGTCAAAAAAAAATTCATTGTAAAGTCGGATGGATAAACAGAGGAGCAGGAAGTTTCCGGAACTACATCATCTCATTAACATCATTCAAGAATTTTTAAGTATTTTCATAATTTATTTTAATGATTGTAAAGATATTTATAACCATTCAAGATTTTTTTTTAAATCAAACTTTGATGCATCACATGCTTTTGTTCATATCTCAAACAGTTCTACCTATTAAAGTTAAATTTCAATGACAACAGGACATGGGTTGCTCATCAATTATATTTTTTTATTATGGAAAGAATAAAAGCCAAAAAAAGTACACTTACAAAAAAATACTGACTTTTTTAAATAGATTTAATCCACTCCACAATTCACACATCACTATCTGGCTAGTTTGTGTCCTCTGCTTATATGCCAAGGCAATAATGGTCCAACACTATTACCAATAAAGCCTAGAAAAACAGGAGATCAGTATATTGTAAACCGATTGGCTCAAATATTCCTTTCCAGTTATCAATGAAATAATTAGTTTCTTATAGATTTGTAACTATTAAATTGTTTTAAATCAAAAGGAATGGGGAAAACAGTCTGTAATTGTGTATTAAACCACCCAGGTCTCCACTTTTTCCACGGCCTCTCTATTTGGCCTCAACAAACTTATCCCTCAAGTTTTTCTAAACTTTTTAACAAAAACTTTCCTCCTTTCCCACTGCTATTTCTAGCCAAGAATTATTTGTCATCTGGTTCTGCCTATGATCATGCATGGACGGATCATAAAGATGTCTGTACAGGTGTACCTGTTTCAGACAAAATCTCTTCAAAGTGATTCATATTTAACTCAAATGAAACGCGGCACCACATAACCTGTTCACTTTTAGGATATACAAATGTAGTGCAGTCTCCGTAGACTGCATTTTTCTGAGACACTTTTCTTTACTTTTTCTGTTTTTCACATAAATAAAGTTAATCCTGTTTTAAAATCTGCCACCATGCTGACACACAGGCTTTTTTAGCTCCGCCCTTTTTAAAAAAGAGCACAATGTCATTTGAATTTAAAGCGACAGTCACCAAAATTGCACAATTGCAAATCGATCCCTGTTATGTTGATGTTTTGTTTAGTTCTATGCTTTCATTTGTCACGCCTATTCATTTGAGCTGTCTCTCGTTAATTACCATAGTTATTGTCTCCACCCCAAATATATATATAGCCAGATATGTTGCGAATGAGTGTTCTCCCTGTCTGTGTTTTGTTTATGTTTTATTTTGAGTTCCATAACCCCGTAAGACTGCATTTGGATCTTTACATTTGATTCACTCTTTGCACTACACGTCAGACAAAACACGACCTGTGGAATTTCAGTTTCAAATATTTCCCCAGTGCTGTTTAACGAGATACATGATTCAGCTTAAAGTGCAATTTAAATGCTTAACTAGGGTAATTAGTTTAACTAGGCAATCTTGATCATGCTACCAGAAAACATGATAGAAATGTGGAGTATAACATAAACAGTCTTTTAATTTAATCACCCATGAACCTCTACAGGAATAACAGGAGTAGAAACCTGACAGAGACACAAGGAAAGTAAAAGATATAAATCCAAGGGATAATCAGGTAAAAGAAGAGGCGAAAAGGTTAATCAAATAACTTAATTAACGTGGGGGAGAAACTGGGTCAAGGAGCACATGAGGAGAGAAAACAACAACGATCTAAACAGTTGTTTGTTTTTAAGGGGCTAAAGATGATGAAAAGTCTTCAATTAAATTGTTCCATCATCATTCAATGTAACATATATACAATCATGTAAAAATAAGACAACATTCGTATTCAGTATTAAATTACAAATAATACAATTTATTATGGAAAGACTAATCTTACTAAATTTGATTATATTTAAAATATTTGAAACTTCCTGTTGACAGATAATATAGCTAGTGGTAATATAATTACTATTATCAGATGGATAATATAGTTAGCTGAGTATTTATATTATAAATATTACAATATAAAAATTAAACCTTTAAACTATTTTATTTGAGCAATTACTACTTACAGAAAATCGGGCCCAATCACACACTTTTACACTTGATTTGAATCAGATATTACTTCCAAAATTATATATGTATATGTATTCTCAATTTTTTTAAACATAAATATTTATGCAGTGGCACAAAGTTAGATCTCTTTCTAGACTTTACACAAAAACAGCAACATGTGCGGCATGACGCATGACATCACTTTTTTTGCTGAGATGCTTTTGGTTCAATGCCGGCAAAGTAGAACACAGAAGCAACATGAAGCAGAAAGTGCGAGTATGTCTGTGGTCTGGAGGTATTATAAAGTTGATGACGACAACATTTCCATAGCAAACTGCGAGATATGTAAACTTGGGATTGCCTGCAATTTTTTTTATTGCATTTTTAATATTTATTGTTGCACTAAAGTCCAAAAGTGAAGATAGTGATGTTATTTATTACTTGATTTTGCACACACACTACCACTACCACACAGAAGCACTCTGTTTGTAACCAAGTTGTTAAATGTTAAAATAAGGTGAATTAAATAAAAAATAAGGAACATCCTGGATCTGTTTCTTCGTTCTTCTTAATTATTTTTATTTTATTTTAGAAAAAACTCAAAATCAAATGACTCGGAGGCAAAAAAAAAAAAAAAAAAAAACCCTGATCTGGACATCCCTGATATAAAGATAAAACAGAAACCAGTTATAATTTACTATATAATTTAATATATAGAAAGGATGACAATTAATGAATGTCAAACTTGTAGAAAAGAACAATCTCTTCATTAGCAGAATCAATGTGACTTTACATGAATAAAGACCTGAAAGAAAATCTCACAGTGAAAACATTCTTAGAAGTTATGTGATCTTTGGTTTCAATTCAAAAACTATTTTTCACATCTGCAATAATTATTCTCCTTTCTCAGTGATGGATGATTAATGCCATTTAAAACACTAAAGTCTAAAAAAATTATCCACGTTACGCCTGCTTTGGTGTCCTTGTCAGACTGGATAAGTGAGAGCCTCTGCAAGGCCAGCAGTTCTGGTGAAGGGTTTTGTGACAGAGAAATGAACATTTGGCCTGAGCTAAACTCAGCTGACAGCAGCAGTGCAAGGGGGGAAATGCTGATAGCTTCATAACACAACAACAAAAAAGCCACTCACTCTGAATCACAGTCCTCTTCGGCCTTCACAACAGATCCCTCTACGTACTGCGGTAATGCTGTAAAATAACCAACCATGAGTTCATTAAAACAAGAAGTCTACAAAATTTCCCAAATGATATAATTCACACTCCAAACAGAGTTCTTTAACCTTAAACATTATTGTTTTAAAATGCACAACATTTGCTACAATAATGCCTGGTATCCACACTTATCTGAAGTTTTAAACTAAAAAAGCCCTGCAAACCCCGTTTTAGTTTAAAAACAGAAGAAAAAAAACCTTAAAAACACAGTGTATTCCAAAAAGCAAATATCAGTGTTTCTCAACCACGTTCCTGGAAGACCACCAGCTCTGCACATATTCCTTGTCTCATTAATCAAACCTCACCTGATTTTGATCATTAGCGCATTAGCAGAGACTGAAAGACCTGTAATAGATGTAACAGACAAAGGTGACATCCAAAACATGCAGTGTTGGTGCATGGTTGAGAAACACTGGCATATATCACCCTTTAAAGAGCACTTTGAAGTAAAAACAATCATGGCTGCCACATTCAAGTGTTATTCCAAAGTAAAGTGCTTAAAATGGCCATTTTAATGGGCCTTTAAAAATGAAGCATTTCGGAAGGTACAATCAATGGGACACTTCGGACCCTTATGATCCTTTGCATGTGAAAGCTGTTTGATGTAGAACACCATGTTCCATTGGAAAGGGCTCATCCCTATGCCCTAAAGCTATCAATGCGGAAGGTGAAACCTCAGAAGGGATCAGGCCATGAGGATGAGCCCTTAGGAATTAAATGCACAACTTTTCTAAAAAGACTTGCTGTCCACATTGGCTCCCTGAAAAGTTCTTATGGATCATTGCATTTCCTTCTCTAATTCATCAAAGCCCTGATCCTGTGGACATAATGATCATTTTCTTTTCATGTTTGTGACTTCACGCAAAATTTAAAGAAACCGATTTGGCAGAAAGCGCATCCTGAAAGTTTTCTTAATTTTAAAATGCCAAAATGAGAATATAAAATACATGATAGCATTGCTAACTTGACAACCAGTAGTAAACAAACATATGCACTGTACAAAATATCCATAAATTGGCAGTTTTCCATATTTTGTGATTCATGTTTTTATTTTTTTTTTATTTTTCCCCATGTATTTATGCTTTTGAATTGCATTATTTGCATTTGTTAAACAGTAGAGTAAATTTTTTTAGCATCAAAAGATGACAGAGCAGAGATCAAGGTCCCATAATGCAATTTACAACTGTAAATAAATGGAAAACACTTGGGAATCACAAAATATGGACACTGTAAATCAACAGATATTCTACAGTGTCCATAGAAAAGGTTGTATTGCTCAGTTTAAATGGTCAGTTGCTAAAATGAAAGCGCAGTAGTGTAAAGAGCCTAAAAGACAAAAGGTTTGTACTGGAATTCAGACTGCATGTGCAAAGCTGCTTATGATCTCCGGCACATTTCTGACTTACTGTGATCCTCAGTGCAAAGCGAGCAGACTCCATCCACAAGCTCTTTGGCCTTGGCTGCGAGCTGGCAGGCCGAGTCTGGGATCGGGGACGGTGTGTCGGGGCTGTCGGTTGCTGGAGATGCTTGTGCACTCCTGTGGGATGAGCAGATGTCAGGATCAAGAACGGAAGGACAATAACACTTTCAGCATGTTTGACTCAAACAACTTACCCATTTTCAATCCCGAATAAGTAAGTGTTGGTGAGAACTTTGTGGACATTCTGTAAAAACAGAGTAAAAAAAATATATTTTTGAAGGACTTCTGATGTCTATATACACTACCTGACAAGTCTTGTCGTCAATCCCAGTTGTAAGAGCAACACATAATAACTTGACTACTAGTTGATCATTTTGAAAAGTGGCAAAAGGTCGATTTTTCTGATGAATCATCTTTTGAAATGCATCCCAATCATCACAAATACTGCAGAAGACCTACTGGAACCTTCATAGACCCAAGATTCTCACAGATATCAGTCAAGTTTGGTGAAGGAAAAACCATGGTTTGGGGTTACATTTAGTATGGAGGCGTGAAAGATATCTGCAGAGTGGATAGCAACATCAACAGCCTGAGGTATCAAGATGTTAGTGCTGCCAATTACATTACAAACCACAGGAGAGGGCAAATTTTCAGCAGGATAGCGCTCCTTCCTTTACTTAAGCCTTCACGTCTAAGTTTCTGAAAGCAAAGAAGGTCAAGGTGCTCCAGAATTAGCCAGCCCAGTCACCAGACATGAACATTATTGAGCATGTCTGGGGTAAGATGAAGAAGGAGGCATTGAAGATGAATCCAGAGAATCTTGATAAACTCTGTGAGTCCTGCAAGGACGCTTTGTCATTCCAGGTGACTTTATTAATAAGTTCAGCTCTCCAAGCTCATTGGAGTCATACACAATATTATAATATATAAAAAAAATTCCCACTGCACCATGATTTTAAATTCTATACTGTACATTATTTCTGTTAAGTGACAAGACTTTTGTCTGAGCCAAGTCAGACCTTACTGTCCTAATGGAATAATTAAAAATCAAGGCATGATCATATTTTATTTTGGTAAAATAAGTGTAATCTAGAGGCCTTTGCCTTTCATAGAAAACCACTTCTGATACCAAACGATCAACTAGAAGTCAAGTTATTATCTGTTGTTCTTAAAACTTGGATAGGCGACAAGACTTTCGTCAGGTAGTGTACAGCTGATAGTTTGTTTAAGTTTTGAAATGTGCTTTATGTTTACCTGGGCAAAGCCAAGGAGCTTCTTGTTGGATATCTCCAAGTGTTTTCGAGTGAGTTCAGACTTTCTGAATTGGCTGTCAATGGCGGTCAGCCTTCTGTTCAGATCCATCACATCCTCCTGAAAAGAAATTGGCAGTTAGAATAACTTGAACTAAAACTATTCAAATTATTTTGGTTAATTCAAATATAAAAAACAACCGAGTAAAAAAAAAGACAAACAAGCCTTAAAATCACCATACAACATGTTACAGTTTATTAATTTTCAGTAAATGTCTTTTTCTTTTTTTTTCTTTTCACATTTTAAACACTCATTTGACAGGACAGTATAATTCGCTGCTTAAATCATGACATGGAAATCAAGTTATGTCCATCTTTTAATCATGTCACACTTTACAGTCTTATAACAATTATAATATAAATATCTGAAAATAAGCAGTTTCTGTAATTTGTGATTCATGTTTTTAGATTTTTTTTATTTTTCCTTATTTATTTATGTTTTTGAATTGCATTATGGGAGCTTGATCTTTCCAACAACTTCCACCAGCTTTTAAGTGACTTTTATTAACATTTTTAATAATTTAAAGAAATGTATTATCTGGTTTGGTGATGAATATTACAGCACAAAAACATTGTAATAAACTGCCAGTACATTTTCTGTTATTTTACAGACTTATTTCTCCATATATTTTTACACATGATATTATTTCAAACTACTAACTTAACTTAATGTATTACTTTCTGACCATCTATTATTAGGCATTAAAATAAACATTACGATCATGATTTTCAAAAGTATTACAGAGCACTGTAGGCGTTCAATAATACCATTTGTTGAGCCTCCCCCAGATAGACAGATAGAGGGATCATAAACAAATATCTTAAAATATTTATGAATAATCAGTAGAGATAATATAGAGCTATCTAAAAATCAGCCTACAGTGACACTGTAACACTTCTAGCACGTAGATGAATTTTTATGTAACCTTTATTGAATATTTAACAAAAAAGCAGCAATTAAGGCAAGAATATCTAACAATCTTTATTTATTTATTTAATTATATATATATATATTTATTTATTTATTTATTTTCCCAGAATTTCTTTTTCTTTTCTTTTCTTTTCTTTTCTCTTTCCTTAACCTCATATGCAGTATATGATGTTAAATTCTGTTGTAAAAATAATGTATACACATGTAAAAGTTTGTATCAGAATTTGTGGCATTGTAAAACATTTGAATAAAAACAATGTACAAAAAATAATAATATGAATAATAATAATGTGAATATTTTTTCAGCAAACAGAGGAATGTGCTAAAATGTACCTTAGTGGCCTCCAAGCCTCTCTTGTTCTTGCCGGCGAGCTGGTTTTTCAGATCTTTGATTTCGGCCTCCAGGAGCTGAATGACCTCCTCATAGTCCTGCTCTGCACTGTTGGTCTGTCTCTGCACAGCTTCTGCCACCTGCAGTTTACTCTTCAGACACTTATTCTCCTCCAGCGTTGCTGTGGCCTTCTGTTTCACACATACACACACAAACAAGGCAACCAAACATCTTAAATGATCACATATGTTCAAACGCTGGGATTACATATATTTGGCATACTCAAATATGACAAGGCAAAAAAAGTCATCCATTTATTAAAACAGATTGCATGCCTCTTAATAGTTGAACTGCATATATTGAAACATTTAAGATTAGTCAAGTTGAACTTTTTTTTAGGCTTCACCTCTGCTGTCTTCTGCAGTTCATCCTCCAGAGTCTTCTTACTGTCCTCTGTGTCTTTCAGCATCACCTGAGAAAAATGCGATAAATCTTGACGTTAGTTTGCTTGCAAAATTGTTTAAAAACTCAAAAAAATGGCAGTTTAAGATCTGGGATATACAGAATACAAAATATCTATACTTTAAATATGTTTTATGATTTATTCATCAAAACGTCTCCAATCATAGGCCTTTCTCTTTCTTATCATGTCCATTTGCTACCATTTTAATGAAAAATCATCTTAAAGGGTCATGAACTGCCTATTTTTTTCCATTACTGGGTCTGTTGCATAAAACATGAGTCATTGGCAGTTCATTCCACTGTGACAATGCCTAATATTCAGCGACTAAGCCAAAGGTAAATGGATAAATGAATGAATGAACTTGTAATCTATTACAATTTTACATCAATATCATAATTAAGATGTTATAGATTGTTGTCTGTCTTGTTTAAACCCCTTTAGAACAGGTTTAGAAGCACTTTTAAATAACTAGTGCTCATTCAAAACATTTTTTTTGTATTTCAACATATTTTGTGATTTGAAAGGAAAGGATGTTTTCAGTAGAATAATTAGTCAAAAGATGAAGGCAATTCTAATATCTCAGATCATAAATCTTTAAACGAATGTTAATTTTGCATCCTGCAGTCAGCTATCAGAGCTTTATACTTGTGTAATTATTAAAGGAACAGCTTTAGTCCAGCTACATCTGTTTGTCTGAGCTCTCACCTTGAGTTGTTTCATCTGCACCTGGAGATGTTTGACTTCATTCTGAAACTCCTCCAGCTCTTCACTGCTGTAGCTGCACTCTGATTCATATGTCTGAAAAGGAAAAGAGTGAAGCAATACTGGTGAAACACTCTTTCGAAAGCATAAATATCTGTAAAAAGGATTTAAAAGTGCCTCATTATAATATTTAAATGTTCTTTATTTAATTAAAAAAGACCAATTTCTAAGCCCATCCTTTCCAAGAGTCTGCTCTGCTCTGATTGGTCACATCATGGCTCAGTCTGTTATGATCAACATTGACATATCTGAGATGTCAGCAAAGCTAAATCTGTGTGCAGTAAAGATTGTGTTGATTTTCACTTAATCAATTTAGCCTGTAACAAAATCAGCTTCAACCTCAATATGAGCTCAACATTAGCAGGACAAATCTATTGGTAAACCTGCAAAAAGTCTGCAGTTTATTATAAGATATTCTGACTGAACTAGCTATTTATATGCACAAGCATGCCACAAGCCCTTCTTCATAAGCCCCTTTCACACATATAGACTTTTCCAGATCATTTTGCTGTAACGAGATGTGAACAGCACCTTGTTAAAAAATAACGAAAACTTTGTTCTGCAAGTTTTTCTGGAATGGCACATTGTGACATTGTAACCAGTTAATTCACACAATTCTGCTGTGTGTGAACGCAAAAGGAAAATGTCTTCATTTAATTTAGTTTAAAATGATGTCAGAATTTACTTTTTATGGATGTGTGAATGGTGCTTTTACAGTAAAATTAGAGTAGATTAGATTTAACTTTATAGTCATTACACACGCACAAGTACAAGGCAACCAAATGCAGTTTAGGTCTAACCAGGAATGCAACAGCAGCAAGTGCAGCATATAGGTATAAGTTATGAAGTGCAATTGGGTTTTATTCACAGATGGAAGTACTATGAACATTATATGCAGAGATTTACAATAGATGAACATATGCAAAGGTTGCTATTAATAACCAGATGTATGCATATAGATATGAACATAATTACAAATGTATAAATGCAGTAGATATGTACAATTCAAGATGAAGTAGTGCAACAAAGTGCAAGGAATATGTACAATTTTAAATGTGCAAATATTAAATAGTGCAGTGTTTATGTGGAGTATAAATTATGAGGAGAGTGTGGGGGTGTATGAGGGGGCAAAAGAGTCAGTGGGGGGCAGAGTTTTAATAATATAAAAATATTAAAAATATTAATAATATAAAAATATAATAAAATAAATTATAATAAAATTATTATGATAAAATTATTATTTAAATTATAATAAAAAAGGGAGACAGTAATATTACTGTGTGAAAGAGTTTCATAGATATGTATGCACAAGTAACAGATTTTAGTGTATGCAAGCTTTTTAGCATTTAGTAATATAAACAGTAGAATCAACTCTTTTTTAAAAGACAATAACTTCACTTATCCCTATGCATATGATCTTTAACACTTTGCAGACCTTTTACATTGACAAACAACTTCATTATGCACTGATTGAAAGGTAATGTTTATAGATAAATCACATTATGGGGCACTTTAAGACCAGAGGCAGTTGAGTGGTTACATATTAGTATGAGACAAATCCAAACTCTGACAATTGAAGTGTTTAAGAGCTTAAAGGACAGCTTTGATAACTTTCCTGAGCAGCAGAAAAGCTCCTTTAAGAACGCTGGGTAAATCTTCAGACGCGCTCAACTCCAGGAAAAAGTGAAGTCTCAATAATGTGAGGAGGTGCTGTGAGGATAGTTTTAGTCTGTGTCACAGTCAAGCACAGCAATGCGAAATTGTACAGTTGTACTTACTGGGGAATGAAAGGCAGAGGTGTCCATCAAACTAGCTGCTTCCTGGTAGGAGAACATAAACGGTCCCTGTCCCAAGCCCACCTCCTCCAGCTTCTCCTGATAGACACTGCGTGTGGCCTCCACAAAGTCTAAACACAGAAACAAAGGCAAAATCAGCCATAGTAAAGAATAGTATTAGAACAAACTGCATAGAAGAAAACATCAAAATCCTCACATTATCAGTCAAAAATTTGGAATTTCGATTAATTGGAAACACTAAGAGTTTTAAAAATGTTTTAATAAACACACTAAGGTTTAAAATACAGTAAAACATTAAAATGGTAACAATTCATTTGATTTTATTATAATCTAGACTGAGCAATGAAGTTTGCACTGCGCACTCGTGTTTTTAAACTTTTTTTGGTGCATTAATCTTGTCAATATTAATCAGAAAGTCATGATTCACACTCATTAAATAGATAATACTTTGTATTTTTTGTATTTCTGTATATCTCAAAACACAGACATTTCAGCACAATGAGGCAGGGCTGGAGTGGGACTCCTTTTCAGTCCTGGAGTTTCAAGCCTTAGACCGGCCCACATCTGTTCACGGCGGACTATATTAAAATAAATTAATTTCCATTTCAGTTTCTAATGATACTATCTCGTCTTTTTCAATGAAACAGCTGCTTTAGAACTTCAAATGTTTTTCATAAATTTGAGAACATTAAAGGGTGGCTAAATCTTCAACACTATTCCTTAAAACATCACAATGTCCTTTCCTGTAATATCTGAATGTATATTATGTTGAAAATTCTTTAAAGATATCCTGACCTTTGTAAAGGTGGTCAGACAGAAAAATAAAAATAAAATATATAAACCTATATAAGTATCTCAAACAGTATTATATGTCTTAACACTAAAATTTACAAATACTCAGGTGAGGTCGGAACTCAGGTCAGCGGCGTCGTAACGCAACATGCTGACCACTGGACCACAAAGGCGCTGCTATGCTGGTGCGTTTGGAAAAAAAACAAACTCCTTTTTTTTTAAATTTCTGATAAAGTTATGTCAGATTTATTGATGTAGTAAATCATCAGATCTTCATTGAGCAGAAAGATAGTTACGTCATCATTAACCTGCAGGCTGCATTTTGCTCACGGGGATGGGAGAGAATAAATAAAAAGAGCGGAGCTGCAGCAAAATAATGAATAAAAAGAGTGAGACCATGGTCAAATAAATAAATGAAAAAAGTGTGACTGCTGAGAGTGCAGGCAGCTATAGGACACCGGTGATGATCATTTGATGCTTAAGAAACATATACAGTTGAAGTAAGAATTATTAGCCCACCTGTTTTTATAATTCTGACATAAAATTTATATCTTATAAACAAATTTTAAAACAGTAATATTATATAACAGTTAATATTTCTGTTGAAACAATGATGAACTATTAAAACATTGGTGGTAAGAAAGAAACGAAAGAAATAAAGAAAGAAAAAAAGAAAGAAAGAAAGAAAGAAAGAAAGAAAGCACTTGTGTACACTATTTGTGTGATAAGACTACAAAATTCTGAAGTCGTATTTGATTTAAACAGCCATCTATATCACTTATTTGAGCAGCAGATGAGTGATATCAAGGGATTGATATTAGATTTTCTTGCGCTTTTTAATGAGGTACCTTCGCGGACGACAGTTTTAAAACATCACATTGTTGTCGGTGATGCCGTCCCGATTAAGCAACACAAGAGACGTAATGAAGAATTAAGTCATGTACTTGTTGGGGAATGAGCATGCTAAACCCAGTAGCAGTCCTTGCAGCAGTATATAAGAAACGAATTAACGGTTAAGATTGTCTGTCCTTGTTTATTTCCATCCATTTTCTTCAGTCATAATATAATTTTCTAAATGTTACATTTTCTCTCCCTATACACCTTATTGAAACACATGAAATTGATCCAAAGTCTCATTTAACATTTATAATGCTAGAATTCTTTATAACGTATTATGAATAATTAAACATATAAAAAAGTAAATATAAAAAATAAATAATATAAAAAATATAATTGTTACACATTTAAACAAATGCTGTTAACTTAATTTTAGATTAATCAATCATACCTATAAAAAATACTTTTTCTCAAAAATATTATGCAACATAAACTGCTTTTAACAATAATAATATATATATATATTTTTTTTAATTCTAACCATTAAAAACAAACTGTAGTGTAGATTTTTAAAAAGTATGATTTCAGGTTAACTTTTGCTTGCTAAACAAAAAAAAAAAAAAGTGAAATATATTCTCTTCTGTCACTCAGCTAAATCCATCCAGCATATTCCTGATAACAGGAGAAAGAGCGTCTAGAGGGAATATTTATGTTCAGGTGTTCTTGCTCTAAGTGTTTGCACAGCTGAAGTACAAGGAAACCAGCAGAGCTCTTGCTTTAGCACAAGCACTTTGATCAGGGTTTGCGGGCGACGGCATCTTCCTGCGGCGAAGCATAAACTCCCTGTCATGAGCAGCCTGGAAATATACTTAGCTGTCTAAGTTTGTACTGAACCCAAATATTATTTCCCTTCCCTCGCAATCTGCCTCCGACACTCATTCTAAGTGTTTCAAAATATAAACTCCAGGATTGTGATTCCCTCTTTATAAGAGGCATTTCTGCTCATGTCAAAACATGATTATTTCCTGTGGTTATTTCAGAGGTTGGAAACCTTAGGCACGCAAGCTGGACCGGTAATCACTCAGTGCGAGAGAGATTTTGGTTATTTCCGTAATGTTGAATTTGCGTGCTGCACTACCTATTTTTTTAAGGTTTTTGCTTAACTGCGGTAATCCTTTTTCAGTCATGCAACCTTTTATTAAGCTGTATGGAAACCTAACGCTCCAACTGAACTGAATCTGTTGAGTGTGTTTGACACTGGTGATTTTAAAAAGGAACTGATATATAACTATTATAAATCCCGAAATATTTTTCACCCTGTTTCATATTCGCATCTAATTTTGACATATGTGAATTCCTCATGTGGCATTTAAGTCCACATCAAAACAATACTAAATTTCTATTTTTTTAGCCTGAACATTTTGTTAACAATTAAAAACATATATAATTTTTTTTTCCAGGATAATATATTGCAGTTGTGGGATAAGAGTGTTATGGATGTATCTGTACCTCCATATGAGACTGTTCCCTGTGGGTCTGTGGTGAGACTCTCTCTGAGCTGCCTTCTCTTCTCATCTGTCACATCCAGACCCAGGTATGATAAAGCCTGTAAAAAAAAAAACATCAAAATTATAATACCCATTTAACCAAATTTACATTTATGATCCTGGATTAGAGATTTTTCTTATATCCCAAAATCATAAAGATCCTGTTCCATGAAGATATTAAAAGATATAAAATTTCTATTAGTTTATGCATTGCTATCAATTTAGACAACTTATTAATGTCAATTTTTAAAACAGTTGTATTTCAAGCTGAATATTGCCCTTTCATTCATTTATTCATTTTCCTTCGGCTTGGTCCCTTATTTATCAGGGGTTTGCCACGGTGGAATGAACCAGCAATCATTCCAGCATATGTTTTACACAGTGGATGCCCTTTCATTTGCAACCCAGTACTGGGAAACACCCATACACACTCATTCACACACACACACACACACACACACTCATACACTACAGCCAATTTACTTAATCCAATTCACCAATAGCACACATCTTAGGAGATAACGGGGAAACCGGAGCACCCAGAGGAAACCCACATGAACATAGAGAGAACATGCAAATTCCACACAGAAATGACAACTGACCCAGCCAGGACTTGAACCAGCAAACTTCTTGCGGCGAGCTGATACCACTGAGCCACCTTCCATGAAGATATTTTGTAAATTTACGACTGTTAATGTATCAAAACCTAATTTTCAATACTTGAATTCAATTCAATCTCTCCATATTTGGATTTTTCTGAACCCTCAGGTTCAAAATTTTCAAATAATTGTATTTCTATGAAATATTGTCATATGCTAACAAAAGCAAAGCGTATAAATTCAGCTCTCATATGATGTAAATTGATATCTTTAAAAATAAAATTACTGCAGATTTAGTTTGAACCTGGAATTAAGATGCACTTTTGTTGATCTAAAAGTGTAAAAAAAAAAAAAAAAAGTCTGAAAGGTTTTGAGCTTGACAAATTGGTTTGACCATTTTCAGAGCTGGTCAACATTCAACTGACTGAATTTTATTATGAAGGGCCAAAAACTAAACTTGATTGAGGGTGATGGGCCAGAGGTAAAGATACCCAACTGTAAAGTTGTCAATGTTATTTCGTAATTTATTATAATTCATTATATAATTTAATACTACAATTTCATTCATTCCTTTATTTTCCATCTTAGTCCCATTATTAATCTGGGGTCGCCACAGCAGAATGAACCGCCAACTAATCCAGCATATGTTTTTACGTAGCGGGTGCCCCTCCAAATGCAACATATCTCTGGGAAACATCCATACACACTCATACACTACCTACGGACTACCTTAACCTACCCATGTCTTTGGACTGTGGGGGGCACCGGAGCACCCGGAGGAAACCCACACAAATGCGCGGAGAACTCCATACAGAATCGTCAACTGACCCAGCCGAGGCTTGAACCAGCGACCTTTTTGCTGCGAGGCGACAGCACTACCTACTGTGCCACTACGTCACCCAGTACTATAATTTATAATATTTAAAATATTTTATATTAATATTTATAGATTTTTGTAGACTTTATAATGAATTAATGTCTAACAATAAAAAAAACATGAACAATCCCATGCATAACACTAAAAATATGCCTTGATTCACTTGCTGATGTCTTCTGTGATGTGCACTATCCATCAAGTGACTGTATTTATTTATGTTTTTAATCTGATTTATTCACAACAACTCTTTTTTTGTAGCTCAACAGTTAAAAAAAAGTTATGTAAAATCAAAATTGACAATCTCTGTTAAATGCATTCCCCCCAAAATTCCCCAACATTCTCCCTCTCTTCTTAGATGAGGTTGAGGGCCAAATCAAAGGTTACCGTGGGCTAGCTTTGGTCTGCGGGCCCTATTAGGCATCTCTGGTCTAAACAGTTCTATGCTCAGATGCATTCAAACAACCACAAAAGTAAGAAAAAGTAAAGTCTCTTGCAGGAAATTCTGGAAAATTCCATATTATACAGTAAGGAAACTTTTACTAAGGTTTTTACATTTTTTAAAATCACTGCCATTTTCTACAGTGCATAATGTTTAGTGTGGTTCTGCAGCTTTCAAAGCAGATATTAAAGCAAATCATTTGTGTGACGTTATAGATCAAAAGATGAGCAAAAATCCGTACATATGACCACTACAGGCCCTCCACTCCATGAAATCAGAAAAATGATGGAAACAAAGCTTTAAGATTGATTCTGGTGATATCTGTGAGTGAATTCTGGAGTGGTGTGATTCAGTTTTCGATCTACTTGCATTTAAATGTATTAAACTGTTGACATACATTTCTTTCTTCTTATTAAAAAACTATTTCGAATTGCAGGGAGAAAAATACTTTTCATAACAGGAGATATATCAACATCTAATTTCTAGAAACGCTGATATTTGTTAAACAGATACAGAATATATTGGTTACTCTTTATTTTAAGATATCATTGTCACGATGTTGCTATTCATTTAACTACTGAGGAATATATTCATTAATTACATGTACTTAGTGTATAGTTAAAATTAAAATGCAGGTTATGTTTAAGTTATTGTAATTACTACAGAAAGTACATGGAAAGTTTGCAACAGACAGTTGACTGATTATTTCCTTGAATCTCTGAGCCTGAAAAGTCACATTACATCTTTATACACAAGAGGGCAGTGTGGTGATAGGGGTAAATGGTGTCCAATAAATCCAGGCTTACGTTCGATAAGAGTTCAAAAGGCTGTAATATGGCTAATCAGATTAAAAGTGAACATACGATCTAATACAGGCAGAGAAATAAGATATATAGCCAAAAAATTATACTCCAGTATCAAGAAAACTGTCTGTCTACAAATAAAACATATATACTTGCAGATGTATAGGAACTAAGTCACACAGCAAATTTGCACAGTGTCAAATACCTGTTCGTGCAACACTTAATGTAGTGCGCACTGTGTCTTTAGTCCACATTTAAGTGCTCTCGTCCATTGAGACCTAATCCTATTAATGGGCCGGTAGATTAGGGTCAGCCCTGGGATCAGCGGGATTAAACTAAATCTCTGCTAAACAACTGCACCATAACAAAGAGCAGGGACAAAGATCTGTGAGGAAAGTGACACTGAGATATTAAAGGTTATCTTTATAAGCGTTCTCTCGGGTGCTTTGCTGTTGAGATATTGGCTTTTTGAAGTCAGATTCACCTGAATTGCTGGGTCTGACAAGTATTAGGTACTGCCCTCATTTTTGCATTTAAGCAATTAAATTGTACTTTTAAATGTTGAAAATTATAAAAATATCAAATCCATTGGTATGTTCTAATTTTTTCACACTTACACTCATGGTAAATTGTAAATGTGAATTTGATTTAATTTAGTCACCAAAGTGATGTTATCTAGCTTTATGTTGTTCCCAACCAGAGCTGGGGCCAATTAGGAGGCATCAACAACTGAATTGATAAATTGTGATTAATTTCAACTCTTAAAAGCCCAAAACAAAAATGAAAATATATTAAACATATTTTTAATTCTATATTATAATCTAATAAAATAGATACTAATAATTTTTTTTTTTTTGTTATTCCTCCCTCTCAGTCACTATTGGTTTTAACAGTAGAACCTACAGCTAAACCTACAATATTGTGGGTATTTAACATATAAATACTCAAAAAAAAAAAAAAGTTTAAAGACAGCAGTGTTGACATTAATACAGCAGGAATTTCAGAATTGTTTTGCTGTTGAATCTGAGTGCTGTTAAATAGGGCTGATAGTTACACATTTTACACAAATTTCCATTCACAAGCTTGCAATTTGATTAAATTTAGATTTCAAATCAGAGTGTTTAGAAAATGACAACTAATGCTGTAAACTAAACCTTAGTATACTACTTTAGAATAAAAGTAAAAGTTTAAGTAAACAATAAATAATAATAATATTTCTACTAATTTTTTGAAGCATTCATTCAAACACATCAAATATTGAAGGCAAAAATGCACTGAATGTTTAATACAGGGAATATTTTTGTCCAAAAGTTAAAGTTTAAAGTGTTCAAAGCCAACCATCGAGTCTGTGTACATTGAATGTCTAAAATAAATATAATGTTGCTTATTGTTTCAAACTGTTTTATTCATTTCCTTCTACTGTTCAAGCACTGATTGAGGGATTATATTACTTAGAAAAATGGAGCATCCCTTGGTTGAGATTCATTCTTTCGTGCAACAGCTCAAAATCTTTTGTATAAATTTGTATAAAATAAATCACACTAATCATAATAAAATAGACATATTTTGAAAGCTGATGGGCGACAAGGTGGCTCAGTGGTTAGCACTGTCGCCTCACGGCAAGATGGTCGCTGGTTCAAGTCCCGGCTGGGTCAGTTTGCATTTCTGTGTGGAGTTTGCATGTTCTCCCCATGTTCACATGGGTTTCCTCCGGGTGATCCGGTTTCTCCCACAGTCAAATGACATCCGTTATAAGTGAATTGAATTAAATAAATTGTCTGTTTTGTATGAGTGTATGTAAGTGCATATGGATGTTTCCCGGTAATGTGTTGCAGCTGGAAGGGCATTGGCTGTGTAAGACATATGCTGGATAAGTTGGCGGTTCATTCCATTGTGGCAACCCCCGAAGAATAAAGAGACTAAGCTGAAGGAAAATGAATGAATAAATGAAAGCTGATGCTTGGTTTCATTTCCAAAGTATGCAAAAATTGTCTAATTTATTAGATGGGAAGCATGTTAGAAAACGTTCGAGGTTACTAAAGTAACCCTTCGTTCCCCGAGGAGGGGAACGGAAGCACTATAAGTGGATTTGATTGTAAAATCCACGCATTGGGAGGTTCGGTTCAGAAGCTACTCGTCTGAAGAGTATTGAACGGGCCAATTAAGAATGAATTGGCAGCGCAAGCCTGCGCAGGTGAGCGGCATAAGCAATCAACTGAGTATATAAGCTCACCTGGCGCAGCAGACGCTATCCTTTTTAAGCTGAAGAGACTTTCAACAGCTAAGGGACAGTCATTATGGCGACGGAGTATAGTGCTTCCGTTCCCCTCCTCGGGGAACG